AAGAAAAGGATATTGTTTGGCTTGCATCTCCTTCAAAGTTAACTTTCTTTGCCCCCTTTCTTGAGGAACTTCTTTCTTGTCCACAATCTTTTCACTTCTGTTTCCCTTGAGTTTGAAGGGTTTCGCATTGATCGCCATTGTTTCTTTGACCTCTTCGTTAGGCGCTCTAGAGGAGAGCTTGCCCCCTTTTTTGGCTTCATTTGGGTCCATGAATCTTTGAGGCTCATGAACAGGTGGATTCTTGACCCGCTTGCAGACATGCTTAACTCCATATCATGTGCGCGAGTGGCCTGTTCTTCAAACGACTTCGGCTGAATGCCTTGCAGAATGTATCGGAGACCCCAGTGCATCCCTTGAGTACACACTTCAATAGCCGAAGCTTCAGACAGTCGATCCTTGCATTGAGACTTAGATTTCTCCATCGGTTGATGTAGTCAATAACATGCTCTTCATCCCACTGCTTTGTATGAGTGAGCTCAATCATGCTGACCGTCCTTCGTGTGCTGTAGAAACGATTGAGAAACTCTTGCTCTAGTTGCTCCCAACTATCAATAGAATTCGCCTCCAAGTCGGTGTACCACTCGAACGCATTTCCCTTTAATGATCGAACAAACTGCTTCACCAGAAGATCTCCATATATTCCAGCATCGTTGCAAGTCTAAATGAAGTGAGCTATGTGCTGTTTCGGGCTACCTTTACCATCGAACTGTTGGAATTTCGGTGGTTGATATCCAGTAGGCATCTTCAAGCTATCAATCCTTTGGGTGTATGGCTTCGAATAAGTTAAAGATGACTTGGAGCCTCCATCAAACTTGTCCTTGATGGTTCCCATGATGAATTCTTTGAGTTGGTCAGTTGGTATGAGTCCACTTGAAGAAACATGGATTTCTGGCGAAGACTTCTCTTTTTCAGTTTGTTTCACCCCATCTTCTTTAGAAGATTCTTTTTTCTCATGTGTTTCACCTTGCTTGCCCCCAGCTCGGCTAGTCTCAGCTTTGTCGACCCTTTCTAGCAACTGTAAAATTGTGGAGTCTTGATCTTGGACATGTTTCATTAGTGACTCCATTGTTTTTGCCATGGTTGCAAGTTGCTCTTCAATGGTTGATGCATTCGTCATCATAACATGTTCCTCTATTGAGAAAGGTGTCGATGAAGCATCGTCTCTCAAATCTTCCTCTTGGTTCATCAAAGGCGACCGATTTTCCTCAACTTGGTGAGAATTTCCTTCCAGAGATACACTCATGTTTTTCGCCATGCTTCTTGTTACGACACCAACACTTTCACTTGCAGAACTTGAAGAAGTTGACTTGGGAGGAGTCATCGTTGCACTTATATATCTTGAAGAAAAGAGATGAGAGGTAAAGATGGTCCCACCGGGCGTGCCAGAAATTTGTAACGCAAAATTTCGTATTATTGAATTAATAAACACGAGAACTTCGTACAAATGATTTTCAACGGATCAAATGAAATATAGTGGATTTCAAATCTCTATTATTCATCTGATTAATTTCTTCAAGAGCGATCTTCAAATAGACTTGAGACTTTTGGAGACTAATCTTTAGTTTGATCTCCGTCAGTCTTGAATATGGATTTAAATAACGTTTCTTCGAGGGCTTGATAGCTTGATCTCGAGTCGAACGTCGTGATTTACCAAGAACGTGAAGAACACGAATCCTTGGTCTTTGCCACAAAGTTGATTTTGATCTTCTCTACGCCGGTCTTGACTTGAATAACGTAATTCGGAGGCTTGACAGCTTGTTTCCGGATTAAACGTCGGTTTTTGGCTTGAATGCGCTTGA